CCCTTAAAAAGATGGGATTCTAATATCAAGAGATGCCGTTTCAGGCGACAGTAGGTACTAGGAAAAATGTTATTAGACCTGAAATGTTGGACTTCGTTTTGAGATGGCGGCCTTATTAGACTTACATGTCTGTTGTTTCACATCATCTTCTTTTCAACCCGTAATAGAGCCGGGATTGTAATATCGAGAGACTGCATTCTACCATGGAGAAATTACATGAAAGTTTTATATTTTGATATCCACACAAAAACTACCAAGCTACTACATTAAAAGGTTTGAGACCAAAAAATTTTAAGATGGCGGCCATATTACACTAACATGGCCTCTTTTTGGACTTCATCCTCTTTTTAACCCCTTAAAGAGATGGGATTCTAATATCCAGAGATGACGTTCCAGGCGATAGCAGGCTGTCTTGATATAGAGACAAAGACTAGTAAGGTTCTAAGTAAAATGACATTAGACCTGAGATTTTGAACTTCGTTTCAGGATGGCGGCCATATTAGACTAACATGGTCGATGTTTTACATCATGCTCTTTTCCTCCCGTTAAAGAGATGGGATTTTAACATCGAGAGATGAAGTTTTAAGTGACAGTTTTATATCTTGATATTCACACAAAAACTACCAAGCTACTAAATAAAAAGTTGAAAGAGCAGAATACTTGCATTTCTTTTTAAGTTGGCGGCGAACATGGCCGTGTTCAAGTTTGACATCATCCTTTTTTTAATCCGTGAAAGAGATGGGATTCTAATATTGAGAGATGAAGATCCAGGCGACAGTAGACTGTCTTGATGTAAAGACAAAAACTAGCCAGGTACTAAGAAACGCGTTAATAGACCCGAGATGCTGACTTCGTTTGAAGATGGCGGCCATATTAAGCCTCATGTGAAAAGATCGGGGATGCTCGCCATCTCTATAGGGGTGTAAATTAGTGAAGTTGGTCTCGTTTAGGATGTTCATGAAGAAACCCTACCATTTGTAGCACTCTCATTATCTTTTTGGGTTAATCTCGATGAAATGGTTAAAAAAATCCCTGTAATTTCCCTTTCAGGTTTAGAGGCTAAAGAAAGCACAAGCCACAATCAGATTGGTCTTCTTTTTAAGGGGTTTAATTTAAAATTTCCAACTAGGGACAGACTGAAGGGCTATTCACCGATTAAGACCCGTCAAAGATTGCGCACAAAGATACAAAGGAGGCCGGTAGAACATTCATATTTAACGCCCTGTACCTGAAGCAGTCACATGAAATAAACTGGCATCATCTTGAAGTGCCACTGTGAACAAATTCTCGATATCCTGCACTTTTTTTTTTTTACATTTTCGTACGCAATAGGTCTTTCCTAGATTTACTGCGAAATTTCAATCTATAGAACTTCAATATTAGAACTCACGTTTTTTGGACCTTTATTTTCAAGAATTTACGGCCGCAATTAATTTTTCTTGTTCCAAGTCTTGGTTGAGAATTAGACCAAATGATGTCCTTTTCTCAAAAATACCACACGGGTTAAAATACATATAAACACAAGTAGTACAGGAATTCGCATAACGAATAACAAAAACTTTGGCTCTTATACAGCTGAATCGTGCAATTTTCTACACTAGAAAACATGGATATCGAGAATCTGATCACAGTGGCACTTTGAGGTTATCGCTCTTCAATAAAACACCCACAGATAAAATTTGAAAGTAAACTAAAAATACCTGGACTCATGAAGGAGTAAATCAGGTCTGACAAGATAACAATTATTTAACGCGAACATCTGGCCAAAAGGTGCTTAGGTTGACTCAGCCAGTAACTCACTCAATCCTTTTCGTTCCTGGTGGAACATAGGTCGTCAACTAGTGCCTGCCACCTGACCATATTTTGCGCAGTAACTTTTACTCCCGCCACGTGAGCTATCTCTCCTCCAATTCTGCAGTTCTTGTGCGCCTCCAGGTGTGTTGGGGTCCCCGTGTTTTGCGTTACCCCAGTGGGATCCACCCAATTTCCAACCGTTGGGTTAACATCAGCTGGAATTTTTAACAAGGTTATATAGCGATACCATTGCTCACGTGTTGTACTATATTATATAACTAATTTTTGTTTTTGCTGTTGCTTTTTTTTTATGGAAACTCGGCCAGGTCAAGTGAAAGGATTCAATGCTTTTATTTTGTGNCCACGTGAGCTATCTCTCCTCCAATTCTGCAGTTCTTGTGCGCCTCCAGGTGTGTTGGGGTCCCCGTGTTATGCGTTACCCCAGTGGGATCCACCCAATGTCCAACCGTTGGGTTAACATCAGCTGGAATTTGTAACAAGGTTATATAGCGATACCATTGGTCACGTGTTGTACTATATTATATGACTAATTTTTGTTTTTGTTTTTGTTTTTGTTTTTGTTTTTGTTGTTGCTTTTTTTTATGGAAGCTCGGCCAGGTCAAGTGAAAGGATTAAATGCTTTTATTTTGTGTACAAATGTATGAAAGATCTACCGGAGACGACAATGTTTTAAATTTGAGATTTCGTGAAAGGTTTCGATCCCACGCTGATTGCGAATCGAAGAGTTTAAATTAAAAGTTAATAATCTGCACACAAAGTACAGAAACTAAACAAAGTGAAATTGTCATAACATCTGTTTCATATTACTTCATCTTTTGTATGAGAACGCCTCAGTCAATAAGTATAATTAATAATTGATGCTAGACACAGACTAGTTGTGTACCACTAGAGACCAAAGGTTTGGATGATTCACTATCAAAGCAAGATCAAAGGACGGGAAAATCATGTATCAGTGGTTTTTAGCTTCTGTGATGATTACTTCTACAAACGCAGTAACAAGAATATTTACGCCAGACCTCCAAGCCGTTAATTTTGCTAAAGAAATAAAAGGAAGAAGACTCAATGGAAGCGTCATTCGAGAAATGGAAGTAGATTCGGAGGTTTCTTGCCAGCTGCAATGTGTGAAAGAGAATGGCTGTCTGTCGTATAACTTTGGACCTAACGAAAATAAAAAGAGATTCAGCTGTCAGCTAAGTAACTCTGATCGATTTGTTGGCTTGAAGAATTTTACAGAGGACCATGAATTTCTCTACCGAGGAGTAAAGGTAACATGATGTGTAGATTGATTCGGGATAAAATTGGTTATTTTGATCTTTTTAACTCACATATCTTTCACTTGCTTCTTTCATATTTTCTTATAGTTTCTGGACTTAAAAAGAAACTTTGTAATAAATAAATAATAGTGTACAATCAACTCGCGAAAATAATTCTTTTTCTTGCCAAATGACACACGCAAACTCAACTTTAGATTGATAGCAGAGTGATCGTTAATTATTTTTAGAGCATCTGTGAGATGGAAAGTTCTCCTTGTGGGGAGAAAGAAGTCTGCATGCCCAACTATCAAGACAACAGTGCCCAGTGCAAATGTCAAGATGATTATGTTGGAAAACCTTGCGGTATGTATCCCAAAGACAGAATACAAACAATGCACAATTTCATTACTATGGCAAACATAACATAACTTTACATAAACTTAAGACTTAACATAATAAAAGCAGTAAAGCACAACAAAAAAGAA